CCTGCAAAAACTGTTATAACAGACACTTCTGTTGTTTTACTTTATAATATTTTTTATAATATTATAAAATAAAACAACGGTTATAATATTTTCCAATTATTTACGAATTCTTTATTTGCATAAATTAAATACCAATAAATAAAAGGTTTTTCAGTTTTCCACAAACTAACTTTTTTGGTTTTCCACTAACGATTGGTTTAACAATAATTTTAAACAAATCCGATGATTTGTTTAAAATTATTGGGTTTTTTTTTTCGAATTTGTTTGTTCTATGCCTTAGTTGCATCATGGAAGTATGAAAGTTCATCGAGCCGCAAACATCAGAGCAATTTCAAGTCGTCTCGGGAGTATGCTTGTAACCGACAATAAAAAAAACGAAACAATTTTCACTGGACAAAAAACAACAAAATTCACTTAAATGATTTTTATTAAAACAATAAAAAATGAATTATTCTAAGGATATGCTGCAAGGTTTTAACCATTAGTAATTGCAATTATTTAGCAAAAGGTTTATTAAAACTTGGTAATTAAATAGAACCACTTGATTTTAAAAACATATGTTAGTTTAAGTTTCTTTTCTTGCTCCAAGTCATAACACGACATTTGATTAAAAAGACAACTAAAACAATTTCTAAAAAACCAAAAAAATTGTTTTCTAAATAATAAAGGTTTAAAGTTTCATTAGCTGTATATCATAATTTCATTCATTCTTGTAGTACTCCATTCCGTTTGGCGTTTCGTTGCGCCATTTTTAATGTTTTACTTGAATAGTATTGGCGAACCTTCAAAATACTATATTTTTAAATTATTATAAACGTACCTATTTGCGTCAACGTATAAAGATTATGCGTTTAAGTACAGTCTTGATGTCGTTTTCTTTTTGTTTACGAAACAAAAGGTTACAAGCATAGTCAAAAAGAATTTCAATACAGTTGAACTACCATCTGTTTTATACTTCCATGGTTGCATTGAGTTTGCCGTTGACGTTTAAGACCAAAACAATATTCGAACCTTACAGTAGCATTTGGTTGCCGTATCATCATAATTAAAAAAAAAAAGAGAAATAACATAACCATAAAACTAAAAATGTTAGTCGTTTTATAAGAATAAATTAATTAACTCTATACACAACACAAAAGTTTGTTTAACTGTTTTTACCTGTAAATAGGGGTTAAACCACCGGTTCAGATACCACAGACAATTAGATTAGTCAAAGTTTTATAACAGAAAAAGGTACTTTCACTATGCAGAAATGAATCTAAAATCTAAGATAAATGAAATCTGAATAGAATCTTATATTTTTATAATAATATAAGGGTTATTTTTTTTGTCTTCTTCTAACTCGCATAGTCGTTTTGCTTCTAGTGATAGCAATTTTTAACTAGAACACATGTCAATGTGTTTTTTGTTGTTATTACATATTCTGAAAGTGAAATAATTATTTTTAAAACTTTAAGCCTTGCTTGGCGAAATAATGTAAACCTTGCTTGGCGAAATAATGTAAACCTTCTAGTTCGCCATTGTATTTATAAATTCGTGATATACAAAATGATATATCAAACACAATTTTGCAAAGTTTGTAATGTTATAATAAATACCCACATTTGTTATTCAAGGTATAAGACAGTAAAGTACCAAAATAAAGTATCGACAAAACATGATCTTGTCGTACAAAACATGATCTTGTCTTGTGTTGTTGACAAAAAAAATCTTGTAACGATACTTTTTGCATACTTTCTTGACAATAACTCTATATTTATAAACAATGTCATGTCCTTAGCTTATTGTGAGTTTAGATAGCATTAAAAATTCTAAAAATTGCCTTCTTTGTAAGTAACTAGCTCTACCACTGATCAGGCCATCCAAATAAATCTTAAAAGGGGATGATAAACAATATAAATACAATAAATTATTTAAATTTTGTAAGAGGGTTAGACATCTCTATCGCCCCCACCATCTAAGCCTCTAAGTCTTTCGGTTTTTTTTTATATTTTCAAATATTATTTTAAGTAATATAAGTTTTCCTAATTTTAATTAAATTTCGTTTCAAGCTAACATTATGCAACAATGGTTGATTATTTTTTATATTAAAAAAATGTCATAAAATTGTTTTGAGAAGTTTTGAGAAAATTTAAGTTATTTGAATTTGTAAATTTTAAATTTTTAATATTACTCTGTTGTACAGATGAATATCACGATATTTTTTTTTTATTATTCATATTTTGCTGTTTATATAAACTACAACTCCTTTTCACAAAAAATAAAACATAATTACAAATGTATAGATAATAAACAGACAGGGGCTCAAAGAAGATATGGACGGCAAAATACCAACGTAATCTTTTCATAGAGCCCCTTAAATTATATGAAATATAGAAATGAAATAGAAACGCAAAAACGCAAAAGATTTTTATAAATTGGTACATTAAATATTTCAATTCTTCTCGTATTTCTCAAAAAAACAGTTTAAACTTAACTGTCGTCAGCAGTTAAAAGGCTTCTTTCTGTTTTATACGAAAATGTAAAAAACAGAGTGCAAATTTAATGTTTAGAAACTGCCTATAAATAATACAAAAAATTTTGAGAAACAAATTAGTTCAACAAAATTAGTGAAGATCCTACTTCTAGTTATTACATAAAATATTCAACTATTTAGTTAATACAAAACTTTAAACAAAAATAAAATACGTTTGAAAAATGCTTTCAACTTTGTTAAAAAAAAAAACTCATGAAATATTGACAAAAGCGATGTTTAATTTTCATTTGATATATTAAACCTTTATTCATCAATTTCACTTAAAGAATTTGCTTTAATTCATAAAAATCATTTAAATAAAAAGATTTCTAAAAAAAGTCAACCAAGCTTTCTATATCAGAAAAAGACAGCTTACAGAGTTTTGCTTACATTGTTGTTTATTCTTGTGGAGTCACAAAATTTATGAACTGAAAATATTTTGTCCTTTAGGTCTTCAGTTTACGATCATTCTAGTGGTCTTTCATACACGGTCATCACACACAAAAAAACAATTTTTTAAATTGCAATGACATTAATTAATCTTCTTGACTTTTATTAAATGTTGATAATAACCATGCTATATTTTTGAACATTCAAGACGAAAAGCAGTTCCAAATTACTTTAAAAAAATAATATTCTGCAATACAATACACAATCGAAAGTATAAATAAAACTCCAAACTTACTTGATGTAAGAATAATAAATAAACCAAAAGTAAATACGAGTTTAAAGTTTACAAAAAAGCAGCCGTTACAAATATTAAAACTAACCTTCATTCAACTCATCAAAATTTAAAGCGCAATATTTAAAAGTGAGGTCAAACAGTTTCATATGCAGTAATTCCCATTTACAAAATGAAACTAATCTCAGCAAAAAAACTATAGCGGAATTTCAGTGGACCTATATAGGCATTTTGAACGATCCACTGTAGTTTTTCTCATCTGTCACTTAGTGGACCATTAGTGGCAGCCGCCAAAAGTGCTAGCCGATAACTAATCACTAATAACATATCGGAAAGTTAATGGCTTGCCATTTATAACGGCTACCACTAATGGTTCACTAATTATCCGATGAGCAAAACTCCAATAAACTGCTAAAAAATGCCTATTGAAACTCCAATAAACTGCTAATGATTTCCGTATTTTCATTCAAACACAGGTATACTTCCGCCAGTCGTCCCAGCAGGCACCAAAGTCGTCATTTATGAAGCGTGTTTAATGAGAAAAACAGTTTCTGTTACATTTGTCAACTTGTACGTTCAAATTTTGCACAAGCAAAACCTGCGCGTACATGTGTGTCAACAGTGTGAATAAAAACTGTAAATTATTAAATGTGAATAAATATTCATAAACATAAAATACAAGCAGTAAAAACTATTTTGTTAGTCGAGAAGCAGAAATCAATCTAAATGCGTTGTATTTAAATAAATTAATCTAATACTAAATACCCTGCCATGGCTACAAAAAAAGCAGCGTCAAAGTTAAGAAAAAAATACGATTTTATATTGCACCCGTTATAGAAAAGGGACGTATGTCCATTTTTGCCAAAAATAAGAAATTTGGACAGTAAAAACTATGGAATATTGTCCATGTTATTTTAGTATTATGATTCGATTATTTATAATTAATGAGTTAGTAACCATTATAGAAAAGTAACGTATCGGACAATACGAATTTTTTTTTTTGCATTTTGAAGATACAACCCTTTTCTAAAACGGATGCGATATTCGAATGGACAAAAATGTATGTTTTTATTTTAAGTACAACTGTTTTACCAACTTGTTTAATTTACAGTTAAGGATTGTTAAATAATAAGTCGAATCTTGAACGTCACTTTTTCAACTAAAGACTGTACTTTGTAATTCTATTATTTTAGCTTTTTATTTTGTCTAGCGACGAAAGAAAGGCGATATTCAAGGTGATATTTACGAAAAACTACCAATATTTGGTTCCGCTTAAAGCTCAAAGCTGTAGAGAAGACATTAAGAAAGAAGATAAATTCTTAATTAAAAAGTTTTTTTCAAAAAATGAAATTGGTATTACAAAGTAATACCAATTTCATTTTTTTACAAAGTAACACCAATTGCTACAAATGATGCAAAACACCATTTGTAGCAATTAGTATTACTTTGTTTGCATCTTAATTTTTTGGCTGCTATCAACAAAATACATATTTATTAGTTATATAATAAATATATACTTAATATATTTAATATATATATATATATATATATATATATATATATATATATATATATATATACACATATACATATATTTAATTATATATTAAATATTAATTAATTAAAAGAAGACTTTTACGTTACATAAAGATATATATAAAATAGGGCTCAAAGAAGGGTGTCATCTTAATCAAAAAACATATATATATATATATATATATATATATATATATATATATATATATATATATATATATATATATATATATATATATATATATATATATATTTCAAATTTATTAGGTAAACGAAAAACCTGTTCACAAAGTTGATAAGAGAGCTGAAATATCAAACCAAGAAGATAACAATATTAACAAGAGAGACAAAGAAAATTTTAAAAACACTGGCGAATCATTAAAAAAAAGACATATTCAAGACAAAGTTGACGAAGATTCGGATATTCAAAAGCGCGACACAGTTCCTGAAAGTAATGGGGAAAACACAGCAAACAATTTGATTGCAGAAAAGCGTAACGATATAAAAAACTTAACTGAACAAACTGATAACGATAATATAAAAACTGAATTTGAAAATTCCAATCAGTATGATGTTAGAAATGACGTTGACACAGACAACAATAAAATTGACGCAGACAACAACAAAGTTGGCCTGGAAACTAACTACATTAGTGACAAGACAACAGATCAACAAGATGACAACAGTGTTAAAAAATATTTTGTGGATGATGTAGATCATGCTAGTGTTAATGATGAAAAAACAACCAATCAGGAATCAGATTATGCAAGTGGAGCCGATCCTGAAGATAGCAACATTAATGAGAAAAAGATACCTGATTTAGATTTTAAAGAAAATCTTAATTCACAAAATGACAAAAAAGAAAAAAGTATTCGTAAGAAGGTTGAAAAAAAGTTGCCCGGTAAAAAGTTAAAAAATCAGAAATCAAAACAAATATTTCAAGACTGGGAAGAAGATGAAAACAACGCACATCTTAAATCTGATGGACCTATTACTGAACAAAACTTAGAAGATGACGAATATTCATCATCATTTAGCGAAAGAAAACACCTTATAGATGAACCCGATAATATAATGTTTCAGCAACGAAGTTTTTCTCCAACTTTATTTGGGTACCGTATTTTGCGTTCTCCTATCAATCCAGTAGGAGCTGAAATGGCTTTTACGCGATTTAACTCTTTTTCACCAATTAATAGCTTCACACCATATAGTGCAATTGCAATGCAAAACTATTTGTTTCCAACAAACAGTCGAGATGGCATGCTTATACCCGTCACACGTGGAATTGCACGAGAAATAATTACAAAAAGAGATGGCAATAATAACAACAACAATTGTTGCTGTCAGTGTTGCTGCCCATGTTGTCATCACACTTGTTCTCACCAGGATTGTCATGATTGTTGTCATTGTCACCATGATGTTCACCATCACGACTGCTGTCATCACCATCACGTTAAACACTGCCACCCTACAATACATCACACTTATCATGAGCATCACCATGATCATTGTCATCCGTGTCACCACCATGAATCCCATTGTCATCACCCTTGTGAATGCAAACATGTTCACCATCACGAACCTTGCTGTCATGATTGTAACCATGAATGCCATCACGATTGCGATCATCATGATTGCTGTCCTTTCTATTGTGGTCATCACGAATACGGTCACCTAGATGATGGATGTCATAACTGTTTAAACCAGCATGATTACCATGGAGCCTACAATTGCGCTCCAGAGCATTATTGTGGTGGGTATCAACCACATTACCAACACCAATCGTGTGGTTGCAATCATGGTTATCAACCCGCAATTCATATTATAGGAAATGTTGATGGAACATACGGAGGACATGGAGGTTATTTAAGAAGAAAACGAGGATTAAAAAAATGAACATTTTTTTAAATATTATAATAATATTATATTATAAAACAAGTTTATGTTTATTTTTGAAACAAAAAGATTAAAGTTAAATTATTAAAACTTTTATTTATTTTTATTACTTTATAAGTAAAAAAAATAAAATTTATTTAATTCGTTTTATTTTCTAAACAATTGTCAAAAATTTTAAAATATCTTAACACAAAATTCCCACGCGAATGATTAAAAAAAATAAGTGGTGCTGTTCAAATTTACATTAGTATGCTATCCAGTTTATCCAAATTTGCATTAGTGTAACTATCTAGTAAAATTTGAAAAAAGTAAATTTTATTAATTACTACACGAATATTTTAGTATTTTATATGGATACAATGTTTAACCCACACTTTTCAAATAAACCGGTGAAAATGTTGAATTTTATCATGTTGTAACACCATTTTTTTAAACAAAGATTATGTTTTAAAGTTTTTAATAAATAAAAGCAAAATTAAAATTTTTTTCTACGTATTTTTCAACAATTTATGGATGATTTTTTCTTTCTTGCATCACTGCATATAAAATAACCAGTTTATAATTTGTACGCATGAGGAGATAAAAAAGTTAAAGATCCAACTGACAGAAACAATGTTATATGACAATCTACCGATATTAAAGAAAAATATCCAATGAAAAAAATTTTGTTCTTAAGTAAAATGAATGTGCGTTAATTTTAACGGGCTTTTGATTCAAATCTTCGCTTCAACGAGTCTTGCTCATGCAGCAAATAAACAACAAGTGAAGAAAAAAAAAAAAAAAAAAAAAAAAGCCTTGGTTTCTGTAGTCTGTGGTGACGATTTACTGTCAATCAAACTAAATTAATTAAAGTGCAATGCACATAAGTGATAAAAAATTCAAATAAGAAGATTAAAAAATGTTTTTGATTCTTTATTTTGCAACAGCAATTTTAGTTAATGCACATCCAATTGAAGACGGTGGCTTACCACACAGTAGAGATTTTTATGCAGGTTACATAAAAGCATTGACCGACAATTTTGATCAATTATTTGTGGCAAACTCGCGAGATGCGCGAAGCACAGACAAAAACGAAGAAAATGATAAGGTGAATAACTCTAATGAAATTTATCAAACGTTTTTTTTTCTCCCTTTACCTAACGAAACATTAACGTAATTTTTAATAATTGCATTGATTTAGTTTCAGTTTAAATCAGGTAAATAGTTAAAACAATGATAATCAAGCAATTAAAGATAATAAACAAATTACTTTGTTTAGGCTGAAGAAAACCCTGTTAGACGAACTGTCAAACTGCAAGCTGAAACTCCAAAAGATATTCAACATTACAAAGAAACTCAACCAGACACTGTCAAAGAAATGAAACGATCAGTTGTAACATCTCATATTAAAGAAAAGAGAGACGCTAAAGATGATGGAGTTGAGCAAAATACAGAAGAAAATGACAATAAAGAAGACTTTGAATCAGATGAAAATGTTGAAAAAAAAGATAATATTGAAGAACAAGGAGAAGAAAATAAAATAGAGGAAAACAACGACTTTGATAACCAAGTAGGACGAGAGGAAGAACCCGACGAAGAACAAGATTTTGATTCTGTTGAAGTTGCGAATAAGCGACAGTATATTTTAGAACATAGCGACTTGAAAAATCTTCCATATATGCCTTCCATTGTTAGTGGCTTCCAGGACACAAGATATTCACCTTTGATGGGTTTAGGTGGTTTTGGAAACGATTTTTTCAAACCTTTTCCTATGCCAACAAGTTTTGGAAACGGCCTACCTTACGGTGTTGCGTATGCAATTCCAATCCCGATACTAGTTTCTCAGGATAACAGCGCTTTAAAAGGAGACTTACGATCAAAAATCAGAAATAAACACACCCGAAGAACAGTATTAAGCCCCCCATTTCTAGTATCAACAAGCTGTAATAATCCGTGTTTGTCTTCATTTCAATGTGGAACAAATACAATCAATGGTCATCTTCCGTGCTCAAATGTCAAGGATGCAGGCCTTTACACTGGTTGTTTAAATAATATTAACAATTGTAATAGCTTGAATAGAATATCTACTGGTTACTCTCTAAACACGATATCAGCAAATGGAGTCAACGGAAATTATGAACCTTGCAACTCAATCCTTCCTGACGATGACAACTTTCAAAATTTACCTACTAGAGTCCCAGTTCAAATAAAGACCAGTGCGGATCATGCCTTGACAAATGACTGCACAAATGAAATTGAAAACTTAAACTGCGGTCCAGTTAATACAGTTGTTAATGATGGCAATACAAAAAATGTTAATGTTCATCACATTCATCATATTAATCACCACCATCACCACCACATCCATCAAGCAACGCCACTATCAAACCCTCAACGAGTCGGATTAAATACGTATCCAATAAATGGAGAGAACTACTTAAATGATGATATAAGAAATGATTGCCTGGCTGGTCCAACTATCGGATCGAGCAGAATCAATTGCAACAACCCTTGCACTAATGTTGTAATGGTTCCAAGTGGATGCGGAGTGAAAACAATTTAATTTTCGTTAACGTTAGCTTAAAAATAAAGTACAGCAAATGCTAGTAGACATGAAGGTTAATCTTAAATAAATTTGAAAATTTTTATAACAAATAACATAGAATTGAAAGTTATTTCAAGCCATTAAAAATCAGTTAGCAAAAAAGGTTTTGACATTTAGTAGTTTCGCGGTATAAATTTCGATTCATAACATGAATCACAATTAACTTTAATTGATTTTATTTAAAATTATTTAAAACAAATAAGAAAACCAAGTTAAGTAGTTGTAAATTTGCACTGAATATTTGTTTTAATTTTATTGATACAATTTTTATAATTCTCCTAAATTTATTCCTAAAAGTTTGATCGACAGTTTGATCGACAGTTTGATCGACTGGCGTTTCTTTTTTTCATGTTGAAAGAAATGCCCTATGAATATTTTGATCTTCTTGTGATGTCGCCACCAAAGTTTAACAGATCAACAGAACCAATTCCGTCTTACATCTCTATGTTTTAATCTTTACAATAAATTAGTCACAACATACGTTAAATATATTTTTTCAGTAGTTTAGCAGTATTTTTTTAATTTCAAATATTCTTTAAATTTAAAATAACTATAGTTGTGATATATTTTATAAATCACAACATACTTACAAAATATAGCACGCGACATTTTAACATTTTTTTTGAAACGTTTTCTTGTCTTTTTTTGATTACTAACAGGATATACTTGTTTAACATATTTCGAGCCATTTAATTCTGTTTCTTTAAGACATTCACCTTTAATTTAGAAAAAACTTTGATTCGTTTAATCTTAATTTTCAAAAACCTTACGGTCTTTACATATGTTTACAAATACAAAATTTGCAGCAACCTCGTTATACTTCTCAAATAAGTTAAATCTCAAATACTTCTATCTCAAATAAGTTATTCATCTTGAATTCAAATTGAAGTTATTCTTATTGAATAGATTTATTTAATAGCTCTTCTAACTCAAGAATAGATGTTTCGGATGATTGTATTTGTTCTTGCAACTCCTACAAATATAAAAAAGCATATTAAAAAATTATTACATTTATGAAGATTAAACTTTTTATAACCATGTATGTTATAACCATGTATATAAATTATTAACGATAACAACCAACTAGTGATTGCAAAATTTGTAATATAAAACAAGTTTTTATGTTTTTATTTGCACCATGCACTTCCCTAAAACAAAAATGGTGTAATGAAAAATTTCACAATACCAAATAAATGGCAAAGTATTTGTAGTATAAAAAAAGATTTTATTTGTTACAAGAAGTGTATCCTAAATAATAGCGGTAATTGTTGTGAAAAAAAAATTTTGCTCTTTACTCCATAGCAGTCCAAGAAAGTCATAAACTTCTAAATGTAATAAACTTCTAAAAGTTTTTCATGAAAGACAACTATCATGAAAAAACTTCTAAAAAATTTTATAAAAAAGACAACTGAATCGGTGAATGTTAAAAGAGCGGAAATCAGATATTTTACAAAATTAACTTTTTTACAAATTTGAATATTTGAAGGATAGCTCCATCTTTTTTTGTTACAAATGTGTCTGTCAAAAGTTTTCTCTTGCCTGTACAGTGTCTAAAAGTTCTGGTTTTTTTAAAAAGGGCTGAAGTCCGGACTTCAGGCCTTTTAACAAAAATCAAGAAACTTGGCGCTGAAGACAGCGTCCAAACGTAACCTCACTTTCTTGTTTTGATTGTACAACAGCGTGGTGAATAAAGCTGATTTATTACGTGTGATCATTTTAATAGTGATTTAAGTTGATAAACTGTTTTTTTAAATGGATGATAGTGGCAGCGAGTCTGATCATACAAGTTATAAAAAAAAGATAAGAAACCCAGATGATTGACATGATATACTAGCTCACAAACAGAAATATGTATAATATGAAAATTATCAAGAGGCGAGAGTCATAGCAAATCTTCTTTTTTTATTTTAGGTGCCTCAAAAAGTCCTTACGATCTTATTACAGAGCACCGTTGATGAGCATTTAAAAGGAAATTCCTTCCTTACCAATGTTATAAAACATGCCCAGAGGTGGCGTTGAACGACGGACCTTTTGCTTCTGAAAAAAAAACCTGATCCATTCTGGCGGAAAGGAAAGGTATTTTTTGAGTGAAGATTTGAACGAGAAATTAATGTAAGAACTATTCATGAAAAAAGTTACAAGTCTTATTATAACTAATACAATGAACACTTTCATTTACGTTTCGGGGAACATCAAGTAGACACCTGCTGCATATGCGAAGAGATAAAGCTAAAGATAAAATCACCTCACCTTAATGAAATTGCTAAGCAAACAGCAGTAACTGAGTTGGCAGTACATAACAGATGCGCAAAATATTTTTACTAAGCCATAAAACAAGATGTAGAGTAGCTAGGGAAGAAAAAAATGTAAATGTTTTGTCTCATGCAGTAGATTATATGCAAAACATTTCACTGCCAAAAATACCTGTGCTTTTTTCACGGTCACAGCTTTTTGCCCTGTGACCGTGACTTTCCACCGTGACATAAAAAGAGAGTTAAGAAGGCATGACAGAGTGTACAATGTTCAAAAAATAAAAAAAAATTATATTAAAAAAGTAATAATCAAAGAAAGTTTTTAGTGGATGATGCAGAGAGTTCATATCTAGTTTACGATGTTAAAAGTTCGTGGCTATAAAAGAAACGCTACCTCAATCGAAATAATGGGTAAGCTCAGAAACCAACAAACTCAGTTTGCAATAAGCAAATTTCACCATTTTCAGTACAATTATGATAACATAGGTCAATGTAAAGCCAGTGAAATTATCAATGGTAGTGTCAAACATACTTTTATGATAAGAAAAAATATTTAAAACAAAGTGAACCTGCCAGAACAGCTTCTTTACCCAAACGGAAAGGTTCTAATAAAATCTGCTAAATTGAATGACTTAAGGAAGTATATTAAGTATATCTAACATGATCATATTGACTATTATAATGAACTACTACAATGGCCTACAACAGAAAGCAACAATGGAGAAGCAGAAGATGTTCGGGAAAATAATTAAGCATAGCTGATAAAATTTCTGTAATAGACCTTTTTTTCCTTATACTTTTTTTTGGTAAAATGTATAAACAAGTCATAAATAAACACTTTTTGAAGTTTTATTGAAGCTTATAACATTATTTTCTATAGCCTTTTAACATTTAACAAGTAATTACTGCTTATTTTAAAGTATATTATATATATTTTAAAATAAGCAGTAACTACTTGTTAAATGTTAAAAGGGCTGAAGTCCACAGTGTTAATTGGTTTATAGGTTCTTTAAAAATAAATATAAAAAAATATGTTTGCTTTTAAAGATGAAAAATATTATCCTCTTCAAAAAAAAATGTTAAACCATTAACAAAAACTTACTGAAGAAGTAGTGCTTTTTTTTTTACTTTCCCGAAAGTTTACATTGTTGGACTTCCGCCTTTTTAACATTCACTGATTCAATTAACTTGAATAAATTTCTAAAAGTTTTTCAATAAAGACAACTATTATGAATAAACTTGTAAAAGTTTTGAAGAAAAAAAAAAATTGCACGGTGGCCCAAAAAAGTGAAGAAAATAGTTTACACGTGTATGTTTTCGCCAGGTATAAAGTATTTAAAATTCAATAAAATTTAAAAATTTTGCATTTAGATAAAGCTTAACTTATATGTCCCTATGAATTGAAAAAAAAATAAAAATAACATGCTTGTTTTTGTTGCCAAAAACATTACCACATTTTATAAAGTTCATTGGGTAGTTTATATATGAAAAAACTCATTAATTCTTGAATGAATAGTTTCACTAAAACTCACGTAGTTTAACTTTTAAGACTTCCCATGATAAACATTGCATTTTATGGTACAAAAACTTTACGCGTATAAAAATATTTTTATCAATAATAATAAAAATATTTTTATCAATAATAATGTATCAATAGCTATGTATTCAATTACAATAAATGAAAAATTAGTAAAAGATACAGTTTTGAATGATTTCATGAAAATATTTTTTAAACTACATAGAATGATGTCATGAAGATTTTTTTTTAAACTAGATAGATTTTAAAATAGAGTTTAGTTACAAACTTAACTGCGCTGGAGGGCAATCACGCTGTTTGGCTGTTTTATCAATGGACACATCTAAATGTTTTTTTTGATGTTTAAATTTTTATTGATAAAATTTTTTTCGTTCTGGGGACATTCATAAAGTACACACGCAGTAAAACCACTGATTTAGGACCCTCCCTCTCCCCTTGTAGACACCTGTATGCTATAAATGACCTACCCTCCTTTGCGTAAGTACGCATTATTTATTACAAAATTACTTCCCCCAATCCCCCATTTCCAAATGTATAAATTTTTCAAAACATTAAATACAAAAAAATCTTTAGTTAAATCAACATTTCTCTGTGAAATAACATAATACTGGTTTTTTTAACTCGTAAAATTCAACGTTTTTGTTTGTAAAAATCAAGACTTAGGATAGATAGAAAATGAGAGAGTCAAACCGCGTACGTACTCGCTATCTTTAACCCCCTCCCTTTGTACACATGTTAAAGCTTGAAAATATATGTTAACCCATTTTTTTTTTTAAGCTTTAATAATCTTTCCTTCCCTCTACCCCCATACCTGCGCACGTACTTTATAGAAGACCCCTCTGCACGAATGATTCTTCATTCAGCTAATTTAGCCGTTCTTGAGTTTAGGAGACGAGTTGTCGCTTTTTAACATCCATATTTTAGCCATTGTTTTCTTTAACTTATTGTTAAGTCTTATTGGATGATCAAGTTTTGTGCAACTTATAAGCCAAATCAGCTATTGGTTTGTCCTTGTCCATATACATTTACGACTTCTCTTTTTCGCTTATTGTTCATCTTTTTTAAATGCCTTTTCAAAGTAGTCATGGGTACACAGTGCTCCCCTGCGACCCTTAGGGTAAACTTTGGTTTAGTCCAAAAGATGTTCTGGATAATTTTTAAAATCAAAACTAACATTTAAGCATATAATTAACTATAAATAATTATAAATAAACATTTAAGATAATTTAAGCAAGTAAATCAATAATTTTTATGCTAAGCATAAAAATTATTGATTTACTTGCTTAAATTATCTTAAAAAAAAGTGACGTCATTAACGCCATTTTTTTCATCAAGTTTTTAAAATAAACCATAAAAAAATCATTTTCATGATTATTTTTACCGTAAACGGTCATTAAATGTGAATTTTTTGCCAAAATGGCTGAAATTAGGTTTTTTAATTTGACCTGCAGCCGTATTCTCATCTCTCCGTTAAGCTTAACGGAGCGTTTGTCAAAAATTTTGTTACAACATCTTTATGTAAAGAAATGACAAAAACTTTATTTAAATTTGTTTAATTAAAAATAATACTAAAATAAAACAACTTTATTTAAAAATTTATACTTTTAAAGAATTCTTTAAATTAATGTAGTTAAAAAGAACTTTTTGACAAACGCTCCGTTAAGCTTAACGGAGGGATGAGAATACGGCCACTGGACGATTTTTGCATTTGTTGGAAATAGCCAAGTTAATATCCATATTAAATTCAAAACCTGACAAATAAAGAGAGAGATATTTTATAAGATTAGATAAAAATTTGCTGTTAATAAAATCTAATAAATGATATTTATTTTTTAGTTTTAATTTATTAAAACCATTTGGTAACTTTTATTTTGTCTAAAATTTTCTATATTTAAAAAAATTTAATAGTCTTTATAAAAATCAATTCCTTGAGAAATGGCAGAATATTCAAACATAATATGCGCATGCTGCTTGGAGATATATGGTAAAAGAACTGACAAAGTTTTAAAAATCACTCCTGGAATTAAAAAACAAGTTTAAAACCTTATATGGAGAGAATATGATTTGGAAAAAGAATGTTGTCCCAAGTTTATATGCTCATCATGTACAACAAACCTTCATACTTTAAACAGATCAAAAACACAACAAATTGAAAAGTGGATACATAAAATATCACAGGTACTATTTGTACGTATCGCAGACATTAATTTTAAATATAGAAATAGTAGTGTAATTTTTTTTTTTTTTTTGTCTTTTAGTTGTTTTTTTTTGTTTGTAAAAATGAGATGTAAAGATCATGATCATGATATCAAAATGCAGAAAATATGTTGTCTGTGCTTTTCAGTTACTGGTTAGTATATTTTTGCATATCAATCATTTAGTGTATGTATATATATATATATATATATATATATATATATATATATATATATATATATATATATATATATATATATATATATATATATATTAATTTAAAAAATGTTTACTTGTAATGTATTTTAAATTTAAAGCCAAGCTGTTAACAATCTTATTAGTCATTCAGAAGCACTGGGGCATGTATGTAGTGAACAAATAGCATCAGGTTCTTAAATTTGATTTTTAAATTTAAAAATGTTCTTTAAATTCTGAAACTTAATTTTGTTTTAGTTTTCTTTTATTCTTCAGGACTACTCAAAAATAAAATGAAGAGAGAAAATATTAAACGTGGTGAAAATTTTCCCAAAATACACTAAATGTTATTGTTGGAAGACCAGATACAAAGTCTAAACGAATATCGTTTAAAAAGTTGCCCTTTGATGTTATAATGGAATTGTCAAACACCTTGTTTTTGTCTAAAAGAATAACACAAATTCTTTGCACTAACTTGAGTGAAAATCTTGGCAAAAATATGGTTGCTACCAATATTAGGCTTCAAATGGAAAAATTACACGATTCTTTGTTAGAATTTTATGATGTCAAAAAAGAAACATTTATATCAGGAGATGAAAAGTTAACATGCAGCCTTGAGTTGTTACAAATACATCAGATCTTATTCTTTACACAATGAAATAAAGAGACTTAGATCCTTATTCCAGTATAGCAAGACTTTTAGTAGATTCAGGACAAGGATTTCTGAAATGTATTTTAAATGTTTTTGGTCCTTTAGTCAAACATTCGAGCTCAAAAAAATTGATGAAGCTGGTGTAAAACGATCTATAATTTTGTCTTTAGTTAAAGATGCTTGGAAATACAATGGTAACCTTAACTTACTTCTAGCTCCACTAAGATTAGAAGATATTACATATTCAGTAGCATTTGATCTTAAATGCAGAAATTTTTTATTTGGTCTGAGTAGCCGCAGTGGTAAATTTGCATGTCTCTAGTGTGAGGGTGAATGTTTACTTGAAAGTGGTGTCAAAAGAACGTTTGGGTCCATAGACTCTAACTAAAAAAAATTTATTGCAGATGGTTGCAAATATAAGCAAATGAAATAATTCAAAAATTGTATTTCTCCAATAATTCTTTACCTTAATGAGCCTCTAGAAACCTTAGTTGAACATAGCATTCCACCTCCAGAGCTTCATCTTTTCACTGGGTTTGAATCATGGCTAAAGACTAATTATATTATGGTGCGAGGCTATCATGGAATTGGGTTGGATGGCAATAATGCACAAAGATTTTTAGATAATTTGGATGATTTTGAGATAAACCTTATAAGTGCAGCCTTAATAGATCCAAATATTAGGTTGCTTCTTCCAGTTATTGGTTGTACAAGAAAGTTTTCAATTGTAAAAAAAAAAAGGATTTGGAATGAAAGTAAAGGAGTTCTTGTATAAGTCAGTTTTAGACTTTAAAAATTCATTCAAAATTTTTAAGGTCATCTAAAAGATAGCTTTGAATACCAATTACATGTAAGCTTGAAAATCCATTTACTTGTTTGCCATCTTTATCTGTTCCTCCAACATAATAAATATGGTTTGGGTGTATATGCTGAACAAGCAGGAGAGAGTGCACACCAGCACCACCATCAAGTATGGAAAAAGTATAAAAGACATTCAGAACATAATGATTATTCACAGCTAAAGAAAAGTGTTTGGAAAAAATTAATATACATTTATACATTTTTTTTTTATCTATTATGAAGTAAATCAATAGTTTTCATGCTTAGCAGTTTTGATTTTAAAATGAAATCTAGAACATCTTATTTAAACCTAGTAATAATAGCCGGCCAAAAAAATTTGGACCAAAACAAAATTTACCCTGAGAGTTGCAGGAGAGCACTGTGGGTATTGAGATTTTTTAAATATCAACAGCAACAACAACAACAACAACAACATCAACAACAACAACAAAACGATTAAGATAAAGCAATAAAGATCATTATACAAGTTACTTTAGGTATTTCATCTCAAAGTATAAATTTTGTTGTCATAAACAGTTCTTATTAAGTACTAATTAAGCACAATGCAATTTAACATTTTCATATGGCCAAAAAAAGATTCAAAACTAAGTCCAATTAATCTGTTTAGTATTGACTGGTAACCAAGGTAACCAAATCAATTAGTTATGGTCATAAAATACAGAGGGAGTTAAGAGCTTTAAAATAAGACCTTAAAAAATCATAAAATATAAGTGACAAGTGATAAAACACTGAAAAAAAAAACTTGTATTTTTTTATATCATTTAAAATAAAAAATTGAAAATAAAGTGCCACTTTAAAAAGCATATGCTTTAGTATATTTAGAAATGTGTTTATGTCAAATAAAGTAGAAATAGTAAAAAGAAGAATAAATTAACTTTCCCATTTTAAATTTCTTCTTAAAAGAATTCAGAGAATTTTTTTTTTTTATAAAATTAATATTTTATAGATATGGCCATTTAATAGATCGTTTACTCTAGTTGTAAATTTGCACTGAATTATTGTTTCAATTTTATTGACATAATTTTCATAATTCTCCTAAATTTATGGGAATAAAAATAGTGTTTAATCGAGAGAAGTTTCTTTTTTCATGTTGAAAGTGTCACCACTGAAGTTTACCAGATCAACAGTGCCACTTCCAAACTTAAAAAACCTCAACCACTGTCAAATGCAAACCCATATTTTACATTAAAGACATTTTGTTATTTTTTAATTCCTTTATATCCTTTACAAGAGCAAACATATAATTATACAACTACATGTAGATAATAAAACATAATTACAATTATATAATTATATTTATTTTGCCTGTTTACATTTTAAAATTAAAAAAATGTATGCATTTTAAAATTAAAAAAATCAATTTATTTCAAATAAATTTAGAATAAATAATTTAATTAATATTTGTTTATTATATATTATTTTTTATATAAAATTATATAATACTTTTTATTATATAATTATGTTAATTTCTGGCTTATATAACTTTAAATAAATTAAGGCTACTTCTGAAAATTTACAGAAAAACGTAATTTATAAAGTGTAATAAATGAAACTTAAACTTTATGAACTGACTGGTTTATCAATTAAACAATAAAATCAAAAATTGGTGCAAAAGGGGGTACTGGGACAAAATAGATTTTTGCCCATAGATCTTGTTCTGAGTGTAGAAACAACTAAGCGATTGATTTTGAATTATCATGTGGCAAAATGCCACCATCAGTTGCATTAGTTTAAACTTTTAGCAAAATTTGTCTTGACTAATTAAATGACTTATAACAAACTTCAATGTAATTTAACTGTGTCATATCGCTTTTTTGTTTCAAGTGTTATGCTGAAGCTCATATTGCATTTAAATAATATAGAATTGGGTATTAAATTTTTAAATTTTGGAATGTGTACATTTTTTTTAGATGTGGCACTGTTTTTAGTAATATGCCAATAATGGGGCATAATGGGGTATGAAATATGGGGCATAATGCACATTCCACCATTTTATCCCAAGTGTTTTTAAATAAATTGTAGACTAATTATATGATATTTTTATGAAAATAAAATAATTTCTTATCCTGAATACATTTGTGTTTTACATTACATATATCTTCCATATATATGTGTACACATATACACACACACACACACACACACACACACACACACACACACACACACACACATATATATATATCCATAGAGGTTTTTTCTGTATAGTTTCTGTATAATTTTTTTATATTGATTGATAAGATAATTGTAAGAATTTACATTAGAAAACTTTTTACTCTAGTATATTTTATGGTACTTTTTTGTACTTTTTGATAAAAAGTTTGTATGCAAATAATAATTTTCAAGATAAATAATATGAGAAAATATAAATAAACATTAAATCGACAGGCATGGAGTGAATACCAATTTTTTTTAAATTCAATTATTTATTTTACAATCTAATTAAAAAATTTTCAATATTATTACTCTTGGATTAACTATATGTATTATAGCCCAACACAAAATTATTAAATGTGTAAAATATGTTATAAATGTTTTCTTATTAAGTTTGAAATAGTTAAATTACGCTTTTTGTGATTCAGCTCAATGTGTTTTTAAAACAGTATTCATCCTAGACGAGGAAAATGAACTTGTTATACACATTCAGCTGATGAAAAAGATGCTTTTTGGACTCAGCTCATTTGGGCTCAGAAAGTTAGCATATGAGCTGGCAGTTAAAAACAAAAAAAAAACACAGTTTTAATAATGAACTTAGTGTTGCTGGTTATGACTGGTATATAGGTTTCATGGACAAACATTCCAAACACTTGTCATTTTGTAAACCGGAAACTACATCAGCTTCTTGTGCCATGGGCTTTGAATGGCTGTGGATTCTTTTTTTTCTTTACTGGAAGTTGTGGATACAAACAAGCTACATGTTGAAATTATCTGGAATTTTAATGAAACTGTAGAAATAGGTATTTCTACAGTTCTAAAGTGTCTCTCTAAAATTTTTTCAACCAGAGAGAAGAGGCAAGTTGGTTCTCTCAATTTAGCTGACAGGGGAAAGTTTGTCACAGCTGTTATTTGTTCTTCAGCAGGTGGTAGGTACATGCCACCCATGATGATCTTTCCTCATAAATAAATGAAGCAAAAATTAATGGATGGAGCGCCACCAAGTAACTGAGCTGAATGTCACTCAAGCAGGTGGATACAAAAAGAATTGTTTGCTGTTTGGTTAAAAAATTTATTTAATATTCAGAGGTTAAAATAAGCTACTTATTTTAGATGGACATAAATCTCACACTAAAAGTTTTGAATTGATTAGCATTGCAAAAGAGAATGGTGTAATTCTTCTGTGTTTGCCTCCTTATTGCACAAATTGAATGCAACCTATGGATTGGCTTTTATCAAGTTACCTAGCACTTACTATGACCATAATATCTGGAAATGGTTAAGAACAAATCCTAGGCCCATGGTCACTTAATTTCAAATAGCTGCACTTTTTAACTAAACCTACCTGGAAGCTGCCATAATGACAAATAGAAGATTTTGTAATTAAGCAGCTATTATGAATCACTTGATGCAATGTTTTTCTTCGGAGGGAAAAAATGTAAACAAACCAATAATAAACATGTAAACAAATAAGTGTAAATAACAAATAACATGTAAATAAATCACTAGCTCCTTCTTTGATTGCTTTATTGAAAATTTTGAAAGAACATTTAACTTTTAAACACAATCTACCATGACATTTGCATACCATAAATCCATCTGGGGAGCAAGCAATGTAAGGTCTATCATACAAAAGAGACTACTTTTTTCAATTTTTCAATCAGTGTGATTTGATACATGCTCTGCATAAAAATTCTTTATAGCATCTTGCTATAAAAAAGAAAGAGTATTAAATTAGGTATATATGCTGTGATGTTTGGATGCAGTTATCCTCCTTTTTCTCATTTGAAACCAGGTATTGCTTTTAGCATGATCTCTTGTGTTATACTCCACGTTTTTAATTGTTTTTGTGTGTTAAAACCAATTTTTCT